GAAAAACTCCTCCGCAGGTTGCCAAGCCCATACTTCTCCGCCCGTATGTATGCAGGCACGTCGCGGTTATCCGTACGATCACCGAGTTTGGCCGCCTCCCACATCTGCAACAGTTGTGGTCGACTCGACGACGGAAGAACAATATAATCCAACTGAACAAGGATGCAGATGCCGCATTCTCCGATTTGTCAATTCCGATTTCCCGACGGAACAACAACACCGTGTTCCTCCATGGCCAAAAAGGCTGTCCCCACTCACTGAAGTTCGGCACCGACGTCGTCAGCATCCCGTGGGCGCACGATGTGTCAGAACCTTCGCGTGGCACGGTCGTCCTCCTCCTCCCGCCGAAATTCGGGCTGCGATCTGCTGTGATTACAAAACTTTCATGCCAGAGGAATGGGATCATTTACAGGGGATCCGCAATAAGTGAGCTTCTCTCTGCGGTCTCATCATGTGCCTTCATATTTGTGCGCTTTTACCATGGTGCCGGCGCTCCTACACATACTCAACGGAAGTTCTACCAGCCTCCCTGCCAACGCACTTCATCTCAATTATTCTGTCCGTGAATCGTCATCTCTGGAAAACTTCGCACCGGAAAAAAACATCGGCATTGTATTTTGGTGACTTGGGATCCAAACCGGTGGTGAGTCGGCTACACGGCGACAGCGTGCCCCACGCACAGTCAATTAACTACGATTGAGGCACCTCCACAGGCGGAGAGGCATGCACCCACGATGCGATCAGTTGAACATGCAAGTACGACTGGGGAGTCCAGTTACTTTTCTCACACCTCCTCGAACGCCAGGTGTAGTACATATTGATTAACTGGGCCAAACACGTATGAATACAGTGAATTCTCAAATCTTTTCCCTCGTATCTCCAGAAAGAACCATTGAACATGTGGCTGTGCCAATGTTGAACTTGCTCGGACACTTCAAAGTTGTCAGCAAATGGTTTACTGAAGAAAAAATACCAGCTATTGACCCGATCCAGTATTGCACAAGAAAAAAATTGTCCGAAAGAGTTCTGCGCGGCATGAGGTTCTACCATTCCTTGTTCAACGATCCATCGAGCCATTTCCACGAGCAATGTTGCGGCCATTATGCGAGAGCGCGGCGAGCTCGCCACTTCATTGCCATTGCCGTTCTGGCCCGCGTTCTAAGTAGATGCTACGTGTTGGCACGCGAAAGACTTCGTCACATAAAATAAGCACTGACCGCGGCCTTCGCAGGCATCTTCCCTATCTTGCTCGCTTCGTACTACGCGAGTACTCTGATTAACACACTACAGAAAGAAACCAAGGCAGAGATAAACGTCACCTCAAATGCCCCCAACAGATTACCACCCTTCGGCGTTTGAGCAACTCCCGGAAGATTTGAATTCGTGGCCTAGGATCAATTGCATATGGGAGAGCACTGACTGTAAAAGAAAAGCACCTCCGCCGGCACAGCACCGTCCGCCTTCGCCAACCTCACATCGAAGGTGGGCATCGTGATGCCCTATGTGTGCTACTGAGTGATCGAGACGTGGCTAACACGGCGGATACCCACAGATTGGCCGAGCCCTCCCGAGCGAGGTACCGCATCCGGAGAAAAGTTCTAGTTCACGGGAATGAGCGTAAGAGAGAAATCGTGGAGTGCTCTAATGAGATACGTACGAGGAGCTCGTGCATCAACTCTTCGACAGCGAGGGACAGCGTCACAGGCGAGTGCGGAGTAGGTTTGCGCGCCGTCTGTGGTTTTTGGCAGATTAGATTGTGATGAGATGCACCAGATGCACGACGGACCAGCACCTGCTCGAGGTAGCGTGTAGCTTGAAGAACAGACCGTGGGCCACCGACGGTCGCGGCCCCAGCCCTCGCGAGATCGAGACGTTGACTCTCCTATGTTCGCAGGCTGTGTCGAAAATAAAATTGACGATCAACCAGTAAAAGGCATACAAATTCGTTGAGGTCCGCCGTCAAGATATCCGCATGGTCTGCGGCGGGAGGATGCTGGTCGAACGCACTTGGCGAAAGCGGAGGCTGGATGACCATCACAGTTAGCCAAGGGGCAGGAACAGCGAGAAGATTATGTGCACTCGCCGACGACAGAACCCCAGAGCTCTTTTGCACGGCCCGTACATTCAAGATAAACTGGAGATCTGTTTCAAATTGGGTCGTCATATTGTACGGGATTTTGAACCGGAGTGGAGAAGCGTACCAGCGGGCAACCTCTTCACCCTTTGCAATTCCTTTGTCTCGGGCTCAACGTTCTTGGTGCGTGTTTTAGCTTGCGGGCGTGGTGCATTGCTAAAGACACATCAGGGAACGCTCGTGTTCTCGGGGCGTAAAATGCGACGCATAATGACAGGTACGCGTCCCCTGCCGCGCGGAGGAGGGGCAGAAAAATGGGACGCAGCCGCGCCATCACCAGCTCCGTCTTCCGCCCATACAGCGTCCAAAGCATGCCGACATACTCGCACAATCCTGCATCGACTCGGGTGACACCGTTATCAAGCAGATTATTGTCGATCTTTATGACGGCTTTCAGGATTTCGCAGGATTGCACAACCTTTTAAATGGCCTAGAGATAGACGTGGTGATCAGCAATGGCTATTGTGGTGAGGGTGTGGACTCCCGTTCACCTTGGAGTACCCAACCGGCTTTTCGCGAAGATCGTCTACGACCATAAGGAAGATGCACTGCTCCAACGTCGACGAGCCCACATCACGAGAACCGGGAACAAAATGCAAGGGCTTGCAAACCCATGCAGACGCACAAAATCATCAAAATCCACGGCAAGCCATCAAAAGCCTTCTGATGTTCAACAGGTGCTTATACCAGACTAGATTTCCTGTAATCATCGCAAGGCTGGCGGGGTTTGCAATCGATTGTGGGGTTTGCATATGGTCAAAAGGTCTGGGATCTGTATATGATATACACCCTGCGTCTGTTGCACTAGCCAGCTCACAGGGAATCACAACGAAAGAAAAGAGGGAATCCAATATATTGCAAGCAACAAACGAAAAGGGCGCCACCGCAGCATCGCTCCGACCCACTCCTGAGGCTAGAAGATGAACGATCGTTGACCGGATTCTTGAGCTACATGGCTGCTTTGGATGGGATCGGGCTCCTGACGTTACTGTCAAGGAGCGACGGCGGCGGCAGTGGCGGACGAGGCGGCGAAAAGGGAAGCATACGGGAGTCAGGACTTGTCATCTTGCGTCCTGAGTCAGCTGAGTTACGATGGCGGGCCCACTGGAGGAGGTAAAGACTTGAGAGACGAGAGGAAGGCGAGCCGAGGGTATTCTTGATGGGTTTGGGATTTCGAAGACTTTTGAGTAAGGTTTGGGGAAGAGAAAGACCAGACGACAAAAAAGGTTTGCGAGACTTGAGAAGGGTTGCGAGACTTGAGAAGGGTTGCGAGACTTGAGAGCGTTGAGAGCGTTGAGAGAGTGATGATACCCCTTGATGGATGAGTCTTGAGGCCTTGCAGCGATGGAGGGGAGCCAGGGAGGCTACGAGGCGAGACGAAGCGTGGTCGTGGTGGTGGGGAGGAGAAAGGAGGGGGATCAATTTTCGATCAACGAGTGGCATCATGCAGAAGGCGGTGTGCGCACGGACCATCCACATGATGCTTCGATGTCGCGATGCCGTTAGCTTATTCCTCGACTTGCTCGACCGCTACTGAGCATTCAGCAAACTCCACTGGCCATTCACATTGACACCTGAAATCTGCGCCTAGGTACTTTCCGCAAGTACACCGATGATAAAACGTAACAAAAACAATAACAACATCGCCGGTGTTGTCTGCGGCGAGAGGCGAGCTCGAGGTCGTCGATCCAAGAACCTGAGGTACAATACTCACATAACTGCCTAGAGGTATACAGCTCGGGCAATACGGGCCATTGATAGCCATGCCTAGGCTCCAAGTCGACGAGCTGAATCTGAATCGATAATAAACTTTCAATGGAATCTTTTGTTGAAAGAACAAGTTGCACAGCGAGAATGTTGGGACCGCGTCCGTGAATTATCGGTATTCAAGGCCATCTTGACAAAAACATTGGGCACAGAATTTACCACACCATTCGAAGGCTGTATGCAAGTTGATCTCCCCGGCGCCCGCAGTCTGAGTTGACTCGGCAGAAGTCTGGCATAATCGTAGGCAAACTGTTCACATGAAGTATGATACCTTTGCCAATCTTGACCAGCATTGCGTCCCAGATATAATGGTAGGTGATGGGCTTGCAACCGCTTGCAAACCGCCATCATCGTTGTGTTTAATTGCGGCCATCACAAGCGATCAGCATCATTCCCCGTTTTTGGTGATGCAGTTGGTAGTAGAATTCACGCTCCAGAACAGACTTGGAGTCTTCTTCAGTGTCGCATTCGTCAAAGCAAGTCGCCCATCCTTTATGTTCCTCCGAGTCCGGCACAAAGGGAAGAGCTGGCGGCGTGTATGTGGCTTGAGCGATGCAGCCCAGCACTGCCTTGTGGATGAATTCGTTGCACTTGTCAGCCTTTGACTTTGGGGGCATATTGGGGAATGAGGGGGTAAACGGAAAAGACGTGGATCTGGGAGGAAAAGAAGAGGGAATTGTCCAGGTCTGCACTGCCACTGACGGAAAAGGCTGCGTGGGCAGTTCCGTCTACCTCCGCCTTGCCTCCGCCTCCGCCTACCCCTGCCTACCCCGTTCCTGATTTACATAGTTGAGTGCAACGAATATTGGGAACTTCTGGTGGGAACACTAAATTTCTGTTGGGAATCTAAAAACCCAGCACTGTCTACTAGGGTGTAGATCTAGTTTTGACGACTGTGTCGGCCATGATGCATAGCGCAAGGAGAGGGAGGGACGAAATCAAGAGATCTCAAAAGGTAGCACAGACAATCGCGTCGCGATTGTCTAACAGACAGTCCCGACAGAGAAAGTGCGCCAATACACAGACCCCTCTTCTCGCTCCTTAAACCGTGAAGGTGCTGCCACCACTCCATATAACACTAATTTACAGCTCCTTTGTGTCCACCATAGCCTAGTGGTAAAGTTTCCCATGCCCTCAGTTTGACGAGTGGTGTGGTGCGGAGGGTTCGAATCCCTCTGGTGGCACAAAACGGTTGCCGGTCCCCGGGCGACGGCCCCGCGATCGCGAGGAACACATTACGCATTCTCCCTGTGCAATTGTTGTGTTCCACCCTAGGCTTTTTGCAATTTCAAACCCATTTTGCTTTGCTTGTTTCATTTATACCAGCAATAAAGTGCACTGTCTCTCTGTGCAACTTCAAATGTTCGCAACTTGCCGCGCGCCTTCGCCGGATTTGGGACGATCGAATCGCCATCAAGATCGCGAAGTGATGGGCCATCATGATCGCGGAGTGAGGCTGTGCCTCGGCCTGGCCTCGGCCATCCCCTTGTCATCAACCATGTAGTGCGCCGTTCAGAAACCCTCAATCTCTATCCTTGATATTCATGGATGCCCCGGTCCCGTCCGCACCCCTGCCCATTCAGAGCGCTGTCGTGCATCATATCACAGTATCACCGCGCACAGCCCATTACGTCCCCCGGCGCTCAACGCATTCACATTTGAAGTACTTCTGTCTGCTGCTTCGTCCTGGCCTCCTACTGCGTTCTGCTCTGCCCACAGTTCCACCCACCGGCGGTGGCCATGTGTGGCCAGTGAACGGGTAAAGAACTGTCAGGAACGGCAACTTGAAGTTCCCACCGATTCGATTGATGAACGTGTAAACGGCGTTTAGAGCTCATCAATTTTACCTGGTGTGTTTACCCATCCCACGCCTTTCTCGCCCTCCCACCATGTCCCAATCCACCACTATCATCGATGACCGGGACCTCACGGCGGTCTCATACACAGGCACTTGGGTTGTGGGTGGTACGGTGCACGAACACGCGGGTACCGTGAGCAGCTCCGTGAACGTTGGAGATCATTTTTCCGTAGCTTTCATCGGTACGTATCGTGTCAGCAACCAAATTTCTAAGCCTTGACTGAAGCTGCTTTCAGGGTCGAACATTGCTGTCTATGGTACGTACGACGCAAGCTCAGCGGGAGTCGTGACCAGCTATGCGATCGACGGCGGCGCGGCTGCGACGGTGACCTCGGCCTCGTCCCCACTCGATAGCTTTCAGCAACTGTTCTGGCAATCGAACACGGTCGTGAATGGAGCCCAGTAAGATAGTTCGACACCACACACTCTCCCCTTGGTTGAATAATTCCTCAGCAACCTCGTTGTAACGATGAAGACCACAAATTCTGGCACAGATGGCGAAGGCACCGTCTGGTTCGACTACTTCAATGTCACGGCAGACGCTACCATTCCTGTCCCGCCCTCCCCGAGCTCGAGTTCTACCTCGTCGATTTCTTCGACTACCTCGTCAACCTCGATAACTACCTCAATAATTAGTTCAGGAACAAGCTCAGGCACTTCCTCCAAAGACTCGTCGACTGCATCGTCGGCGGTGTCGTCTTCCTCTAGCTCTGGCGTTAGTACAACCGTTGTAGCCAAAAAGTCGTCGCATGCTGGTGTGATCGGAGGGGTCATTGGGGCCGTCGCATTCATCGCACTCGTCATGGCCGCCCTGTTCTTCTGGCGCAAGCGCCACGCGACGGACCGGTACGCCAAAGCCATTGGGCCTAACATGTCTAGTGAGTGTCCCATCCCGACCTGGAATAATTTTTTAAACTGAGCTGATTTAACCCATTCAGCGCCATTCAACGGGCTGAATCCGACTCAAACATTCCTTCTACCAACGCCTGCGACCCCAATAAGCGATCGATTCCCGGCTTCGTCGGCCGCATACAGTCCATACAATCCAGGCGGCTCCGACGCGCGCGCGACGTACGCCGTAGCTGGGGCGGCAGCGTACGGGCACACAGGCCAAGTATATCCGTCCCCTCAAGCCCCACCCCAAGGTGCCTACGATCCATTTGCCTCCGTCGCACCCGCGGTTGCGTTGCAGCCACACCCCAGCGCCGCAGTGCCACAGCCCCGATCTTCCTACGCGCCGACCGAGTCCGCGTCCTCCGCCCCTTCCTCCTCGCAATATGCGTACCCGCAACGCGGCGGCGGTGGGCCACTCTCCGTTGTCGGCGGCGCCCCGGTCGACACAAACGACTCTGTCGCGGAGCTGAAACGCCGACAACAGCAAGTCGTGAACTCGTATGAGCAAGGTGTGGGCAGCGCCAGCGCCGCACCGCCGCTGATACAGCATGTGGATAGCGGGGTGCGGGCGCTAAATCCTGCCGGCCCCGCCGCGGTTGAGCTGCCGCCAACTTACACACCTAATTAACCTGAACACACGGTCCGCACACTCGTTGGTAATTCGGAAGACTGACGCTAGTCTGTATCAGTGATATTATGTACTTTATGGATTTCTGGGGCCAACTAAGTAATAGCACGATAGCAATTACCTTTTCCTTCTCCTCCCAAAATTTCTTACCGCTCACTTCACAGTTCGAATATGACCAGAAGACCCCTGGTCGATGACTTAAGCCATCCCCTCCTTTTTTTTCTGCATCATTCACAGGTCGCTCGTCCGACATTCGTGGACGTTGTTCCCTGTTCAAGGACTGGTTCAGTATAGGTTTTCAAGGGGTTGGAAAGTGTGTGGATCCAGGACACGAAATCCGAGCCAATTCGACTCTCCTGAAGAATCGTCATGAATCGAAAATGCAACCTAAAAGGAATAAGATGTAAGACGGACCCCACCCATCCTGTTCGAGAGGTTCAAGGGGGACCTCAAGCAATGGGAGTTTCAGAGACTTGGCGGCATCGTTTGTGGTAGGATTGAACCCATGTCTCTCCTGCAGGGCTTCTGCGACTTCATAGTGATGAGGTTCCCAATGCGCCGCGTGCATGTATGTGTCCCACCGCATTCGAATCGCGAGTGCCGAGCGGGGAAGCCGAGCAGTTTCAACCGTTTGAGGATCCGTGGACCAGTAAATGTGAGGCTCTTCAACATAGTCCTTTGTGATCTTTGGGACCTCGACAAAAACGTGTATCTTCTCTGGTAAATTGACAGTCGGGATGGATTGGGATGCAATAGCGTCGGCTTTGGTCCTAAGAGTCATTTCCCACCGCACTTCAAGGGTGGAGCGATTTGCTTGGAAGTTCAGAACGCAATTTCGGACTAAATTCAACTCCACTCACAGATATAAAATTTGGACAGTTCGGGCATGTTAGTACCAATCCGTGGGGTTGAAACAATGGAAGCTGCTTGTGCCATCCATGTGGAGGCGATGTCCGGGACAGAATCCCCGCACTGGATCCTGGCAGCAAGGAAATAACCACAGCGAGCTTGGTGGTCATGTGAAGAGACCCATCGTTGGCTGCTTCTCATGAGTGGCACAATAAAACTGCAACGGGAGAACTGTCAATACGGAGGCGATAGTTTGGTCCCCAGCTTACTGTGTGAATTCACCGCTTCCTTCATTATCTGCAGTCGGAAAGCAGTCGTCGGGCCGCGGTTCGGGAAGTATTCCTTCCGAACCCTTCTCGACGTAAAGTTCGTGCAGTACACGCCAGACAGGTTCGGGATATATCTCTCTTCCTTCAAGTCCAGCTATGTAGGACCACCCCCAGCTGTTTTGGTCATAATAATAAACACGGCCTGGAGATAGGAGTGCCCTGGGGTGGAACCAGCCGGGATTCATTCGCCGCTGAAGATGTACGAGCGAATCTAGACGTGGCCGCATGTCTCCGTTGGTGTCCGTTGGCAGGTTCAATGTGGCAGGAATTTTGTAAACATTGTTCCGCACGAACCATCCCAATTGCACGAACCACCCCAGGAATGGCGACGCCTCGCCTTCAAATTCAATGTACGCAGGGACATCGCAGAGTTCGTGAACATGCGAGAAGGTCAGTTTCCCGTTTTCCGCGTCAACAAGGGCGAATTGGTTCAAGATCCGGTGGTTTAGAAAGGAACCAGATTCTGCCAATGTGTACCACCATTTCGTGAGATCACTCATCTGAAAGAGTAAATACGCAGGCCTCAACGCGGATGTAGCGAATGACTGTACCAGGTCCAATTCCCAGTCGACGATGGCTTCAGGAGAGGGAAGGTCCGCTCCATATTCGTCCAGAGTTCGATATTCTGTGTTGAATGCATCGATCACCGTTATAGGATGTATTCAGTAGAGTCACTGTACCTCCATGGAATACAAGGCATCGCAATTTTGGAGAACTGCAGAACCCATAGAGCTGCAGAAAATGCGGGGAACTAGCAGGATTTCAGTAGATGAAGAGCGGCATGAGGAGAGCGCTGCTTACGGCGAGTTATCTGCGAGGAAAGATAAGAAGCCTTTCCAGGACTTTCATATGTGTGATTCAGAATCAGCAACCAAGAAAGTATACAACATGAAATTACTGACCTCTGTTGGATTCGCACCTTGATACACTCGGACAGTCCGAACACCGCCATTGACAGTTGCCTTGTAGTCTGTCCAAGCAATTTGCTTGCGGCCGTTGGGGCGTATCTCAATGGTGAACTTCGCAGTCCGAGTGGACCGAAAACTGAGGTGGATATCACCTCGTTTCAAGGCATGGTACTTTTATGTACATAGAATCTGAGTCTCAGCCAAGTACGGAGAAGATTAGATGGGAAACGCACGTCATCTTCGAAGCGGGCGAGCTCTTGCTTGAGACCATCGGTTGAGTCTATGGTTCGCGGTTGGCCCGTGAGTTCTACACTCAATTTGGAAACCTTGGAGTCTATCGCTGCGACCTGGCTTGCGACACCGATTAGATCCATGCGCGTCCCGGTAGCGGCGATGAGCTGGAAAAATAAAACTTGACCCCGATTCTGAACACGGTGTAGCAACGCGGACTCACGGTAGCGTTCGCACGAAGATCCTTCACCCGACGTGTGAACTGCGCGATTTCTTCTCTCACGTTGTCTGCATTGAAATACTTCCTGAACTTGGACGAGGAATGATTCTTCGACATGGTCTCAAGATCTTTGGATAGTTGCGTGAGATGCCTAAAGAAGATCTATAAAATGAACCAGTTGTCGACGGAAGTCCTACCCAGCGAATTCTCCACAGAGCTTCTGGAAATTATTGTCATGCACAGTGGGATGGGTGTCCATTTCCTCCC